TATAACAAATGAATCCTGTTCAGATGTTTTATTGTTTTTATATAAAAACATTTTAGAAAAGAAGCGCACAAACACAAACACAAACACAAACACAAACACAAACACAAACACAAACACAAACACACAGGTGGTGGTTCTGGTTCTGTTTCTGTTTCTGGTTCTGGTTCTGGTCCGAGTGGTGGTTCTGCTGAGCGGGTCAGCAGCTGAAGGATGAAACAGAACCTCAGTCTGCAGCTGTGCTCAGAGTCAAACACCTGCACACAGACCTGGACCAGGACCAGGACCAGAACCAACAGAACACCAGACCCGACCTCACAGATCAGGACCGGGGCTCCAACAAGTCCTGATGATGTCATCAGGTCACCTGTCCCTCATGGACAGATGTTCTGACCCGCTGTGAAACAAAGGAAGAGGAGGGAATCAGCTGATGATGACATCATGTCTCAGCTGAGCTCAGGTCTTCATCTTTGTCCTGGTCCACATCTGGACGTCCAGGAGACACGGTCTTCTACCAGGAGGGGGCGGTGTTGGCCAGGCGTCTCATCCTCCTACAACACAGGAAGTCATGTTACTCCTTCTGTCCCAGAACCAGGTCTACTGAGGTCCACCAGGTCTAAAGAGGTCCACCAGCTCTACTGAGGTCCACCAGGTCTACAGGTCTACTGAGGTCCACCAGGTCTACTGAGGTCCACCAGGTCTACTGGTCTACTGAGGTCCACCAGGTCTACAGGTCTACTGAGGTCCACCAGGTCTACAGGTCTACTGAGGTCCACCAGGTCTACTGGTCTAGTGAGGTCCACCAGGTCTACTGAGGTCCACCAGGTCTACAGGTCTACTGAGGTCCACCAGGTCTACAGGTCTACTGAGGTCCACCAGGTCTACAGGTCTACTGAGGTCCACCAGGTCTACAGGTCTACTGAGGTCCACCAGATCTACAGGTCTACTGAGGTCCACCAGATCTACAGGTCTACAGAGGTCCACCAGGTCTACTGAGGTCCACCATCTGAAGATCTGGATCTGTGTGGATCAGGTCTGGATCAGGTCTGGATCAGGTCCGGATCAGTCTGGATCAGATCTGGATCAGATCTGGATCAGTCTGGATCAGACTGGATCAGATCTGGATCAGGTCCGGATCAGACTGGATCAGGTTGGATCACCACCTTCTGTCCTGGTTTTGGTCCATTTGGAGGGACGGACCTCTCAGTCCATTTCAAGTCTCACCTGGTGTTCCGGTCCTGGTCTCGGATCTTCTTCTCCATCTCAGCGTCAGTCAGGGTCTCCAGCAGGGGGCACCACTGGTCTGCATCTCCTGTGTTCCTGATGGCGATCTCCACGGTGGGCAGAGGGTTCTCACTGGAACCAGCACACAACGTTAGACCACCTGCTGGGTTCAGGCTGGAGGACGTGCAGCAGGACTCTGTGGGTCCAGGTCCAGGCCTGCAGGGGGACTACCTGAAGGCGTAGGTCCTCTGGTGCCAGCTCAGCTGACCCCGGATGCTGTAGGCGATGGTGGTGACGAACTCTCCTCCCAGACCCAGCTCKGAGCACAGCTTCAGGGCGAAGGACTCCGGAGAGTTCTCCTTCTCAGACATGTCCCACTCGAACTGGTCCACCAGGGAGATGTTCCCCACGTGGATGTTGAGCTGCAGACCAGACATCAGCAGGTCCTGAGGGACGTGTGGACACCAAGGGTCCAGATGTTCAGTACTGAAGGACGCACCTTGATGATGACCCTCTGGTCTGCCTGCTCCTCCAGGATGCTGTCTGTGGGGTAGGACTCAATCTGCTGACGGATGGCCGAGGCCACGGCGGGGACGAAGGCCAGGGGGTTCAGGTCCAGGTCGTCACACAGGATCTCTGCAAACATCTCGGGGGTCATCAGCTTCTCTGAGGAGAACACAGGAACCTTACAGACCTGGGTCCTCCAGCTGCCGGAGGCACCAGGTCTGAGTTTTACCGTTCATGTTCCAGGTGAAGGCGTCCCGCAGCTTCTGTCCGTCTATCTCCATGTCCAGACGGATCGGAACCAGAGCTTCTACCTGAGCAGCGTTCTCATGGATCACTGCAGGGTCATGGTCATCGAAGCTGAGGGACACCAAACCTCAGAGTCACAAGGTTTCATTAGACTGGTTCAGATCTTCTGAGACTGATCGACCAGGTCAGACCTCACAGCAACCAGTCTACAGGGTCTGCAAGGTCTACAGGGTCTGCAAGGTCTGCAGGGTCT